ACAAGACGATCAAGCATCGATGTGACTGCCACATAACGAGCACAACATGCACCGCTCATCAACAGCAGGTTTCTGAACCATCTTGCTCAAGCTTCCTGACTTTTGAGGATGACAAACGACCAGAGAAACGCATGCTCCGATGCTAACTATACATCAGCGCCCCACGTGCGCCGCGCAGTATTCGTAACTCAAGGAAAACACGTGAAGGCGTGCTCAGTAGGGCCAGCTCACCAGCCCTCAGAGGTCCATATCCATCTGGTATATGTGTATATACATTGTTTCTGTGGCCTGCCGACAAGTCTCCACCAGCCGATGCAGGCTCTGCCGGTCAGGTCGTCCTGGACTGGTTATTCATCATGCTTTAGAACCGATGAGTCCGTCTCTTGCTCGACCGGTACGCAGTCCAGCCAGCATAACCACCACCAACCACAATGATCACGAGGATGATCTTGAAGAAGAAGCCAAGCCAACTGCCGCCTGTCTTGGGTTCCCGGTTGTTGAAGGGCTTCTTGCTGTTGGTGTTCGAATTCGGGCGAGTGTTGCCCCCAGAGACGTACATGTTCTTGGCGTCAATGGAAATGATATCGTGGTTGTCACTCAGCTCGCCCGTCTCAGCGCTGAAGCCGAGATATGTCACCGAAGGGATTGACGGAGGGCTCTCAATATCGAAGCAGACAACCCAGTCATCTTCCGCCTTGTACTGGAGCTCGAGCTTGAGCTGCTTGTCTTGGAAGTAGGTCAGACGGAGCTTGGTGGCGACGTTGGAGTTGCGGAGACCACGGGCCGAGCAGCCAGCCAGCTCGGTGTCCTTGCCGTCGTTGTCCTTGTTGTAAGAGGTCTTGCCGTCGCCCACCATGGCCATGACGTAGGGGAAGACAACGCCAGGCCGGTTGTTCTTGTAGGTGTCGATGAAGACTCCGAGGCCATCAAATTGGTCTTGGTGACCAAAGACGGGGCCGCGTCTGCCCTTCTCCTTGGTGAGCCACATGGCGAGGCCGTCACCGAACAGACTGTTCTTGCCCGAGATCTTGAACTCGACCGTGACTTCCCAGTTCGTAGCCGTCAAGGGGACTCGCGAAAACAGCCAGCCGTTTTGCGAAGGTCGGTCGCTGGACAATCGGATATAACTGAGAGGTCCCAAAGAGCAAGGTCAGCTTCCTGGTCCACCTCAATTGGGTTTATGGTGGAGATGGTTTCAGGACGTACGAATCCGTCCGGACGACGGTATCACCACCAAAGTCATACCAGCGACTGTTCATATCAGAGTCGAGGTATGGCTGCTTCAGTGTGTGGGTTCGGAGCTGAGATAAGAGCGGAAGTCAGCCATGGTCTCGATACGAGCCTCAGCTCCAAGGTCTCGTCGCGCCTTACAGAGATACTCCGGATGTTCTCGTTCTCGTCGAAGCTGACCGCGCCCAATGCCGTCGCGGCCAGGCACAAGGCCGATGTCAGACCCTTGAACCACATGGTGCCCTCTTTCCGTGATCGTCGCGACACTAGGTAGGCAGTTGGACTTGGCGCGAGCTGGTCGCAAGAGAAGTGCTGAATGGGTGAAAGGCGACAGCAGGCAACCCAGGCTGGACGCAACGAGTGTACGAAAGGAACGCAAGACAAATTGCACTGGTGTTGCTGAAGACTGGCCTCGTCAGGGGTGCAGGCGTCGGTTGTCGTGTGCGAGAGCGTGATTCCACTAATTCCACAATGAATAGCTGGCCTTTGTTCAGGACTGCGGGCCACGAGCCGGCCAGGTCCACGCCGAGCGCTGCGGGACCCACAACGCCAGGATTGGCTCAAAGGTCTGGGCTGGATCCACCCGTGCCTCGCAGCTGCCAGCCACAGGTGAGAAGGTGCCACAGCCACATCCTCGTCCCGGATGCTTCAAGTGCTTGGGAGATGCAATGCTCGATGGTCGTACGATTTGGACTATCGAGCATGTGCGGAACTGTGGATTAGAGTAGTCCGTACCATTTGATTTGCGGCCCCAATCCCAACCCTTCTGATCTCAGCTAGCTATGGGTTTGCTAGAGTGACTTTAAATATCCTGGGTTGAGCAAGGCCGGAGGCGTGCTTGCTCAAGCCCACTTCATTGCTGTGCCAAATTGACAAGGAGTTTGTGGATGTCCATGCCGACGATGATGTTCTGTCTTGAAATGGACGATTCGTCCACAACATTTCACTGAGCAGCAGGTAGGTCCTGTTGGATTTCATTATTCATGCAGTCCTGTCATATATTCTCCCATGTGCTTGCTAGACTGAACTGACCTGGCCGCCAATAGGGACCAGAAGTGGGGTCCTTTAATCTCAAGACCCACCTGCAGGAACGACGTCAGACAGTCCCGAATGCGCCGGCCTCAGTCGCGGCTTCTTCGGCCAGGCTGCGCTCAATGCTCACTCTTCCACAACACAACCACCAAACGTCCAGCTCTACGCCCACCGTGCCCCCGAAGCGCACCATCTATGTCGCATCAACCACACGGCTATTGACAGTGCCCTGAATCATTCATGGCTGGCCACGCCGGCCTCTCCAGCACTCCGTGATGGTTCTACACTTATTTGCGACTCCACAGTCGCCAGTGCCCTCGGCGATCTTCGCAGCTGTCGCTCTGCTCGCCATCTCCCTCGGCGTCCTCCTGATCTTGCGACGATATCTGACTCTCCGATCTACGCCAGCTTATCTACTCGTACCAGTATTCTTTGCGATATGGCTGCCGGCTGTCATCGGGCTCTTGGTCCCCATCGACCTTGCTTCAAGTGCGCCACCCGACGATGAGAACGCAAAGGGCATCTGGTTGCCAGACCGGGCGTTGGTTGTGTCTTGGAGGATATCGTACTGGCTGACCTTTGTTCTTACATGGTACGTTCCGTGGTTATGTGCCCCTGAAGTGTCACTAACGCCGTCTACCCATGCAGGTTCATACTCCCTATTCTCGCGGAGTATTCAGATGCCGGTTATCGCGAACCCCAGGATCGACTGCTGTACTCGCTTAGATCGAATGCGCAATACTATGCCATGGTCCTTGGCGCCGGCGCGCTGGGCCTCATCTATTTCGTACTGTCGTACGGCTTCCACTTTGATTCCCTGAAGGGAGTTGTCATGGCTCTATCCTACTGCTGGGGCTTGATACTCGCGATCTACCTCATGGGCCACGGCTTAGTGTCTATACCACGCACTTTGATCCGCAACGCCAGTATTAGCGGTCGCCTCCGGCGTCTACAAGCACACGCCCCAAAATTATACGAGAAAATGGAAGATTCGCTTCTCAACCTCGAAGAGCTGGAGGTCCAGGTATCGGAGCTGAGCAAGCGCAAGATGGGCAGCGCAAGAGATCACCTAGATTGGATCGAAGAACTCGCAGAGATGTGCAACATCCCCGAATCTCGTCCTCGGACCGGAACCCTCAACACTTACCGCGAGAATCGTGTGGTCCCCACCGTGATCACGGAGAAATACCTGGCAGACTTGACACGCCAAGTCGACCGTGCTAAGCATGCGAAGTCCAGGTATGTCGACGACTGGAACCGGCTTCTTCGTGAAGCCTCTGAGACTCAAGCGATCCTCGACTCGGCAGGCTCGAAGCGTCTCGACTTCGGCACAACGTCAACGGCATCTTCATGGCTAAGAAGAACGACAATTTTGACGCCATATACCCGGTTCATTACCCATTACCATATCCTTCCATATGCCCGTGTCGCGCTCGGCTTCCTTCTTGGGCTCGCCTCCACGTGCATCATCTGGTCCGAGCTTATCAAGAGTGTGTGGCCATCTTTGTCGATTATTCGTCTGACGGTTGTTCACCACCTCACGGAAGACGGCGGGAGAGTCAACCTTGGTGGACAGCTGAGTGCTGCGCTGTGGATCCTCTACATGTGTGTGGCAGCGCTCGCGTCGGTCACCGAGGTAAAAGTGTGGCGTGGTCGGGCTCTCGTGTATCGCAACACAGCACATGAGTCGGCATTCTGGTACGCCAGCCAGGTGGCAAAGCTCAGTGTGCCTCTGTCCTACAACTTTGTCACATTCCTCTCGAGAACCATCTACGAGAAGACAACCTTCTACCATTTCCTCGGCCAGTATGTCGACCTCACACCACTTGGCAAGTGGTTCGACTACCTCTTCCCGGTCCTGGTTCTCTTTCCGGTCTTCGCGACGCTTTTTGGACTGTACGGGAAGATCAGGCGGATGTTCGGCTTTGGATTCAATGTGGTCGAGGAGGACGAGGAGGAAAACCCCACGGGCTATGGCACCGGCTCCTGGAGAGAAGGCCGCGACCTGATCGAACGGGAACTAAACGGCACATCGATTTCCAGGCGTCTCGACCAAGCTTCTTCTCGCGGTGGTGTACGCGGACGTCCGATCCTATCTGTGCCACCTGCCCGAAGCCAGGGTGCTACTACGCCATTTGCGACATCCCCAACATACAGCGACAACCCGACGAGAAGCGCAGCTGGACCATCATCTAGGTCGGCCCCGCCCCCGGAAGGCGACGATGGTAACTTCTTCACGAACCTCGGACACCGCTTCAAAAACACGATGGACACGATCGATACGCCAAAGTGGTTCCAGGAGATCGGTGACGGCATCAAGAAGCCGAAGTGGCTTGGAGGCGATGACGATGATGCCGCTGGGCCAAGCAGTAGACCACCAGGTACGAATAGGACTAATTCGGACCTACGAAGCTGGTTTGGTGGCGATGGACGGGTACGACTGTAGGCAATGATAGATTGGAGGCTGTCAGATATCCTTAGATAGCAAGTAATGATAATCACAATTTCCATAGACATCGTTGAATTTCCTTCTCGCGTAGTGCTCTAAATTGCGTATGAGTTACAGTGTCCATGTCCATGTAGTCCTGCCCGAGGCGAGTGACTGGAGCCTGGGAAGACTATTTCGAAGTAGCAACAGCCCGGGCGCGGAGGAAAAAGTGAGGGAGAAAAAAGGAACACCAGACAACGAGAACTCTAGCTCCACTCACAATCATAATGACGCGGGAAGCCAAAAGAATAGGTCCTACCCGGACTCGAACCGGGGTCGCCGGAAACTTCTCACATCGCCAGATAGACGAAGGAATCAGAATCCGAAGTGATAACCAACTACACTATAGAACCAGCCAATCAAGTTGATGAGAGCCAGCAGCTTATTATCATATATGTCCACTTGCACGAAGTGTTATGCTTCCAGCTCTTCGTTAGAACCTCGTCCTCGCACGAAATTGTGGCCTTGGCACATGGTGAAAGTGTTGCGTCGGACTGAAAAGTCGCCATGCGTAGCGTGCTCAGTGCTGTTGAGTAATGGTGGTGGGGCACGACCAGCCCCAAGGATCCCGTGGACTGCGTGCATGACACTCTTTCTGGTGGGGTCACATGTCAACCAAAAGCTTTTGTCTGCCGCCTCAGGGGTGGCGGGCCGTCTGGCTTGCATGTGCGTCTGCGGTTTCCATGCTAGCTGAAGTGGCATGTCCAACTCATAACATGGATCGAGAAATCGTCTCAACAAAGAATGATCCTCTGGTGTCAATCGTAAGCAGCGGGACTAGAGCGGACTTTGTGGTGAAGAGCAAGGTTCCACTCCAGGGAGCATGTTTTTGGTGGCAGGGTGGCAGGGAGTCCGGATGTTTGAATTCCAACGACGATAGACTTCTGCACAGCGGGAAGACCATCCATGGATACTTCTGGCATCTTTCGCTCTTCTTCTTCTCTCTACTTGCCATGCAACCTCAACACATAATCTAAGCATCCCCGAGCCCACCTGCATTGACCTGTAGACATCAAATCCTCTTCACATGCATCGACACGGCCCGCCATCGATTTGCGAGCATCGTCATACCACCTTCTCCAACTCGCTGCCATTCCCCACTCGCGCCGTCGCCCACTTTGGCGGTCTGCTCCGGAACTCGGTATTCTACCCACTTCCGTCCTGCTCGCGGTCTCACCCTTTCTCTCCCCAAGTGTGATTTCCCTCGGAAGACCTGGCGACCGAACCACAAAGGAACTCGATCCTGATATTGCCTTGCCGAGCCGGGTTCTCCTCTTCGACCCCTCTGACATCCTTGCACTAGTACCGCCGAGGTTCTTTGTCGTAAGCCAGTCCACCACCTGGACCCCACCACGAAACAACAAAACCACCAGTCTTTCGCCGCCGCACACTTCGAGCCGAGCTTCCCACGCGTCGATGCCACCGGCAGCATGTCGTTCATATCGTATCTAAGCGTCTTCCTCATCGGCTATGCCTCAGTCGTCCTCGGCTTCTACACAATGTCTCTCGTCTTCCCCAAGGCGGCGTTTGTCGCGCGGTCTCTCGCGGCCTACATTGGGCTTCTCATAAGCGCCATCTACGGTGTGATCGCCTCAATCGTCCTGCGAATCTTTGGCATGGAGCAAATTGCGCAATGGACAACTGCGCGGTCCTTCAAATACATCATGGCCGCCACGGCCGGCGTCACCTTTGAGGTCGAAGACCCCAAGCGAGTCCTCGACACAACACGCCCGGCTGTCTTCATTGGCCCCCACCAAACTGAGCTCGACGTGCTCATGCTCGGGTGCATCTTCCCCAAGTACTGCAGCGTCACGGCCAAGAGCTCGCTCAAGAAGGTGCCATTCCTGGGCTGGTTCATGGCTCTGAGTGGTACCGTCTTCATCGACCGCAAGAACTCGAAGGATGCCCGCTCCGCCATGGCTGGTGCGGCTTCTCAGATGAAGGATCGCAAGCAGAGCGTCTACATGTTCCCCGAGGGCACCCGCAGCTACTCCAAGGAACCCACCCTTCTGCCTTTCAAGAAGGGCGCGTTTCACCTCGCTGTGCAAGCTGGTGTGCCCATTGTTCCTGTGGTCGTTGCGAACTACTCCCACGTACTCTACATCAAGGAGTATGTGTTCAACGCTGGCAGGATTCCCGTCAAGGGTGAGTACATCTTGAATAGGCTCCGTGGGGGGCGCATCACTGCGACCGACGAATCTCTGCTAATAGCTTACAATAGTGCTCGACCCCATTCCCACGAAGGGACTAACGGCCGAAGACGTTGACGAATTGACCCGGTCGACACGCGAGCTTATGCTCAAGGAGATGGTTGCCCTGACACAAAGGGCGCGGAATAAGCCCGTCGCGATGCCCTCAGACAGCGGCAACGGCGTCGTTCGTGCTAGCGGCGTTGAGGCGACCATCTCCTCGAAATAAATGAACGGCAAGATCCGATCGTTAGAGGACTCCACGTTTCGTGTGTACGCGTGGTCAAGTGAATAAGACTACAAGGCACTCAAGCGGGAGTAGTTGCATCTCGTCAGAGGTGAGGCTCAGGTGATGAGCTTCTCTGGCCAAGCCAATACCTGGAGATTGGCATTTGCAAGGCCTGCGGCACATTGCACAATGTGCGCTTGGTCGCGCCGGTGCGGAGCATGGCTTTTGTTGGTTAGGAGTACTTGAACACGGATGCGGATGGATGAAGCATTGCATTAGATGCGAGGTGGCACCCAGGGCCCTCATGGCGTTATATTGATACACCCCATACATTAGTACTGGAGTTTTGAGAGGCTGCTTTGAATAAACCTATCATTTCAAAAAGCTCCCAGCCGCGGCCATCGTTCGTTGTGATTTCGAACAGCTGATGCGAGTGCAGACTTGGGAGACAACTTCCTTGCAAGTCATGCATTATCCGTTTTAGGCACGGAAAATGGAGAGCGGAGAGGGAGCCAACAACCTTGCCCGTAAGTACAGGAAAGATCAGGACAATGCTAAGAGAAGCATAGCGCTGTATAACGCGACTGCCACTTCAAGGTATGTACTGTGAAAAAAACATATCCAGAGGCATCGGACAGAGCGAACACGCAGAGGGCAGAGGGGCTTCCAACAGGCTTCCAGCTGGAGACCTCCTGGCATTTAAGTCATGGAGCCCTCCGACCCTCTTTTGACCATCAGCATGCTCATCAGCTCGTCAGGGGTCTCCATTCCGTCACAGACGATCGTGGCACTGATGTCTCACGAGGCCATGCCGGCATCGATCGCTCCACGGGCGGGCCAATCCGACACCTTGACGGCACAGCGTGGCCGTCTCGCCATACCACACGCCACGAAGCAGCACTGCCTCCATGATCCTCGCGGTCTAGCCCTGACGAGGGGTACACGATCTCCGATTGTCCACATGTCAACCAGACAACCGAACCTTTGTGGCTGTAGGTACTGTCCTGGGGCAGGCGGGGTAGAGCTAGCATGTCGGGGTCCGCGAAGCTATCGACTGCAACCCCTGCGGCATGGCGCTGGGCTCACCGTAATCGACCAGTGGTCGATTTATGAGCGACGGGACTGGGCGCCTGGGAGGTTGACATGACCTTTGGACGCATCTCTTCCCTTGTGCTGAACCCCGCCATGCCACCACGCCAAGGAGGGTAAACTCGCTCTCACCAACGGCATGCTCGTAACAAGAGGATGAGAACCGGCTTGTCCTGCTCGGGGGCCGGTGCGATGTTCCTGGGCACTTGTGGGAGGGACAAGCGGGGTTCTGCGCGACTTGAACCCGGATGTCCCGAAAGCTTGGCTTTCTCTAATGCAACATCCTATCCTATCCAAGCAATCCATCCACTCGAAGGAGACAACGTGGGTACAGGGGTGGCCTCCTAAGCCACTGACGGCACACGGATACATCGACATGCACGAATCCTTGCTATTCATTGAGCTACTATGATGGGAAGCTAGCTTGAAAAGCAACATACCTTTCCTCGTCTGCATAACGACATCATTGGACATGGCTTGAAAGCGCATGATACTTGGAGCTAGACAAGCTTACAATGTCTCAAGCTGCATGTTACCCCTCATCCCACAGCCTGCACTCGTCAATGAGTTTGGGTCGAGACGAGGAGGTGCTTGCTACGTCAGCCGCGGTGCTTGTCCCTCTCCTTGGACCGGCGATCTTGCTGAATCTTCTGTTGCCGGCAAGGCCGATGATGCGGACGGCCGTCTGCACGGAGTACCTTGATCCTCGCGACGTTAGCTAGTGATAGCTCCGCAAGCTTGAGCTTGAGCTTGCCCCACGATGGTGCCTTGTCAGACGCGCGGCCGCAAGCCCGTCTCCTCAGCTCATGTAGCTCAAGGCCTGGCAAAGTGCGACAGGCCTCCGTCCCGAGCGAGCGGGGTATCGCGAGATTGTGCTATGGTGGCGTGCTTTGAGGGAGCCAAGAATCGCTTGCATGTGGGACTAGGATGTCTTGCCTCGCGTGTGAGCCAATCCCCCAAAACTTTGGTCTGGCCCGGGAAAGCCCCCGATGAGGCCTCATGTCATCGGGGGCCTGCGGCCTCAGGGCGGGCAGGGGTCCAGTGAGAGAGTCTATAAAACAGGGAACTTCCTCTTTGCGGCTCGGAAGGCAGAGAGTGTGAAATCAAGCATATCAAACTTCCAATCCACACATCTAAACAAGACCACTTCACAGTAGAAGCCTCCAGCTTACACCATGGCCTCGTACGGAGACAACGACAACGACAGCGTAAGTCAAAACACACACAGGAGGACGCCATGATCAAGCGTTGCGGAGTTACAAGACGGCCATGATGGCCGTTCACTTGCCCGCGAACAGATCACAGAGCTTCCCAACCCCCCGGGGCTTTATATAAGTTCACAACACTATGTACTAATTCACCTGCTTTGAACGACGAACAGTACGGCTCGTCCAACCGAAGCGGTGGCAACAGCGACAGCTACGGGTCCAGGGACACGAGCGACAGCTATGGCTCCTCGTCTGGTGGCGGCAACACCTACGGCTCGTCCCGCAGCAACAACAAGGATGATGACGACAACAACAACAACAACAGCTACGGCTCCAGCGGCCGCAGCGGCCGTGACGGCAACAGCGACAGCTATGGGTCCAAGGACACGAGCGACAGCTATGGCTCCTCGTCTGGTGGTGGCAACACCTACGGCTCGTCTCGTAGCAACAACAACAGCAATGATGACGACAATGATAACAGCTACGGCTCATCCACGACCCGCAGCGGCGGCCTCGGCAACAGTGGGCGCAGCAACGATGACGACAACGACAACGACAACTCGTACGGGAGCAAGTCGTCGTCTGGCGGCGGCAACAGCTACGGCTCGCGCAACAACGACGACGACAATGACAACAGC